CCAAACACTTTACAGAAAGTAGCATCCACAGTCATTCAGTAATGTTCTTGTATGCATCTTTGTTAATGCCAGCTGGAGAAGCAGATAAACTGCGCCATTAACGAGGAAGAAAATCAGCTGACGAGACTGGACTGCAACATTGGCTATCTGTATGTTGACTCGCTGTCCAAGGTATGTGAAGAACTGTGGGTGTAAAATAGACTTTATTACAATGAGACAAGTGTATTGGCTTATGTACCCTCTTCATAAAGTCCTCCAATGTCTGAGCAGAAACTGTGCAAGGTAGACACAGTAAATGTAACTTTATATGGGGGGGATAGATAAAAATGCATAAAATGTGGATGAATAAATGATAGCCAGAACAAACATAAAATTGTATATCATAGCAAACCAGTCCGGTAGTACTTTTCAAATGAAATAAATAGTCTGCTATGGCCAGCAGCTCCATATGTATTGAATCTGCTCATCAGCGTATGCAATCATCAGTAATACCAGAAATAGCCATGGGGTTGGAGACATTGCATCCACACCTCTGCTTTGGACAGTGTTGGACACTCCTGGACTCCATGATTCAAATGGCGATATAATACGATCCTGATTGTTGCATGTGAGATGCACATTTTTATCCTTTTGACGTGCATTTTGTTATTGGTTATCTATGAGACCGTCAAACACACATTAGTAGTAGTATAATCAAGGTAGTGTAAAATATCATTCTGGTTTCACAATTTGCTCTGTTGAGCATTTTTTTTAGATGCAGAGGTGGCAAATTGATTCAAAATGGCATTAGGAGCAGCACAGGAATGTGTGAGCAATTTGCACTTCGGAATATTACACCCAAGAGTGTCAGAGGGGAGGATGAGTGTCATATACAGCGGTGCACAAGGGAGACAGGAGCATGAACTGTGATCTCACATCTTTGCTTTCCCTCCTGCTGTGGACACTGATTGCTATAGATCTAAGGAAGCAACCTGTAGCTAATTCTGTCTCTGTGCTGGGACCTGTGGTTCCACAGAAGGCATTGGTTTGAATGTACTACCATGTGCAATAAATGGTAATATACAGTAGATAAGCTTTTAGTCATGCAGATGCCTCTACTTAAAGCACACCAAATAATTAAAATGAAAGCTGGACTCCAGACAAACTGATGAACACATGATTAAATACATAAATGGGAGTGGTTTTACCTGCCACAGGATTTGTATTTCTCTGCTGCAGTTAAGCAATACAACTAGGTCTTGTCCCATACCCCAGCCTGTGAATGGACAGTGACGCAGCAGGTTAATAGGCTCAACTCTGTTAACTCCTCCTGTCAGCACAATCCTTTTACAGGTGAAACTCGAATAATTAGAATATCGTGCAAAAGTAATTGCAGTAAGTGCTGCAAAAGGGGCCCAAACCAAGTACTGAGTACATATGCATGCTTGTACTTTTCAGAGGTCCGATATTGTTCTATGTACAATCCTTGTTTTATTGATTGCATGTAATAATCTACTTTTTTGAGGTTGTGGATTTGGGGTTCTTGGGGTTTTCATGAGCTGTAAGCCATAATCATCACAATTATGACAAATCACGGCTTGAACTATCTTGCTTTGCATGTAATGAGTCTATCTCATATATTAGTTTCACCTTTTAAGTTGCATTAGTGAAATAAATGAACTTTGCACGATATTCTAATTATTCGAGTTTCACCTGTAGTACACGAGCAATGCAGTACAATGCGTGGCTCCTTGTTCTGCTTTTCCATCTCATAGTCTGAGCTCTGCTGTGGAGGGGTTTGCAGAAGGCTAATAGCAAGCCCACTGCAGGTACTCACGCCATTTGCTTTTAAAACTTCACAGCTGGCTGTTCTGTTACAGTGCATTGCAGAAATGTAGGCCACAATTTTGGTGCACTGAAGTGCAGGTCCATCAGCACCTACTGTACTTGTGCATTGGAAAGCCATTCTAACTTAATGGCAACACACAGAGTGAAACCAGCCTTGATATTTATTTTATTGAATACATACTGGTATGAATTGGCATATTTTTTTTATCTGCCTGGAGTTCAGCTTTAATCAAAAGGGCTAATTTCCTTATTCAAAAAATAGTGAAACTCCATAGTGATAATTCCCTACTGGTCATTTGTATGCATTGCAACCTTTACCTGCCTCTGTTCTGTAGATATTGAGATAGGCCATTCAAATTTCCTTGCTGAGAGCTCTCAAAAACAGTGCTAAGTTGCAATCATTAAATTAGGAGAATTAGCTATTCACAGGTTTACATGTTTGGATGCATGAATGCATCTGTTCGATTAATGAGCATCAGACAAGCATGTTTTCCCAATTCTCTAAAGATTGGACAAATCTATACATATTCAGGCAAGCAAAAAATGCAGATGCATTCTTGTGTGACATCACACACACATTATTTTTTATGGGTATAAACAGGAGCTAAAAGCCTCTTCTCTGCCCCTCTGATTTAGTTTTACTTTCTTGCATTGTTATGTAATCATCTCTGATCACTTCTTCTGTTCCCTGTAAGGTAGAGTATGGAACGGGGAGAATTCTGGATAAAACAGCCTTTACCTGTACAGTATATGAGAAGACTTTTTAACTGATACAGACTTAACATTGACCTGCTCCTATCGTTACAGCAAGAATTCTCTTTTCTCTTGGATGCCAGCTCACTAAGCAAAGCAGAGGAAGATCTTGAAATCAATGTAACGGTAAAATGGTAAGATTCAGAATCATAATGTAAAACAAACATAGGTGTGTAAATCAACTGAAGGATCGATCTAACAGATCCATATGTAATGTCTCCAGGCCACTGTATGTTAGTTGATTACATTATAAGCAATATAAAATGTACATTTTATAGTAAAGCCATTTCATCCTGCGCTCAGTCTAAACACTTTCGAACAAATCAGCTTCTCTCTACTGTTTGTTCAGTTAAGATTTGCATATGAAAGAAAGAGGCTGATTGGTTGTCATGCACAGCTGCTCCAGGTTTTGTCTGCTCCAGTTTTGATAAATTCCCTTCAGTATATTTAATCAGAACAGCAGGCACATTAATGAGTCGCCATTCACGCCTAGGCATTTAGTGGCTCAAAGGTAAGCGCAAGAAAACGCTCAAGACAAGGAGCCCCATTCATTCCTATGGCTCCTGTTCACACCTGAACGTTTTGTCACAAGCAGAAACACTCCTGTCATTGGCGAAAGTACATGAGCTACTTTTTGGCAGATTATAACGCTTTTTGGTTCCAAAGACTTCAGTGGAAACGTAATGCGACAAAACGCTCAGGTGTGAACAGGGGCCATAGAAATGAATGGGATTCCTTTTCTTGAGCTTTTTGTCGCGTTTACCTTTGAACAACAAGCACTTAAGGGTTCTACTGAACCGAAGGGGTCCTGGGGCCGAAGGATCGGCCGAAGCTACTTGAATAGACCCCTTAGTTGTGACCTCTTAGTTCGGTTCTACTGAACGGAAGGGGTCCTGGGGCCAAAGCTAGCCGAAGGATCGGCCAAAGCTTCGTGAATAGACACCTTAATTGTGAACTTGGTGAGCCTTCTCTAGACTTTTCAGGACTCAGCAGTGACCTCCCCTGGAAGGAATTTCTGCATCCCCTGCACCCCACCCCACCCCTCCCCAATCATGCAGAGATCATATCCTTTGTCTTGCTGCTATTATACTCCATATCAACTGTAACCAAAAATCTATATTACTTGAATCTGTATTATATTGCAACGTGGTTTTTATACATGTAATCCATTACATTAATGCTCCTTTCTTTAATTGAACCTGAAGTGAAAATGAAGTAAACGAGGGCTCTCTGTGGAACAACAAAGCTGTTTTCATCATTCCCACGAGATACGAGGTCAATGTCAATGTACTTGGGTGAGTTAAAGTGTTATTTTTTTTGCAGCCATGGCATGCTGGTTATATAGAGCATTTGGTTTAGTAGAAGGCCAGAGCTATATTGCTTTTCAATGACAAGCCATGAGAACACATCTGATGAGGACATAAACCTTTTACCTGTCCATTATTAAATATATAAAATGACCTTTTTGTAAGCCTGTATATTTGGATGACTAGTAATTGTGTCGCAGCAGAGCAAATAAAAATGCAATGCCAAGACATTTTGTCTATTTGGTGATTCAAAGACGTATATTATGAGATGTTACACTGTGTGATATCCCAACCATTAATAGATTACATTTATATAAACAACTTTTTACTCAGATTACCTTCATTATTTAGATGGAAATGACCCATCACTATATCATAGTTAGAAGAGGAGGAACACTGAATATTTCTTTTTATCTGCCAGCCTCCGCTCTGTGTTTGTAAATACATATCCTTTATCATTCTTTATATAAATACAATGACTACACTGTAATTATAGACATGTGGCTCTTGAATGAGGAATTCTGTCATTTCATAAATTCAGAGTAACCTGTTTTCTTTGTTACTTTAGCTCAGTATATCCAGTATCATTTGTCTACGGCCCACCCCATGATGAGGAGATCTTATGCATCAAGGAAACAATAGACTATACATTTAAAGTATGTACAATATTTTCAAAGAATTGTTTCTTTTAATTATGCTGTAAATATACAACATAGAACTTGTATAAGTACAAATGTTAACTTTATTAAAAAAAAAAGATTTATTAAGTCCAATGATTGGATGATGGGATTTTGTACCGCATGCAAACAATTTCCTGCTAGGCAGTTGTTCACGTAGGAGATTTGAGGTCAGCCCATAGATGCAGCAATTATGGGTAAATCAGATCTTAAACAATCCTTGCTGATACTCAGTCTTGTCCACCTAGACTAGTCTCCACATTTATATTCTTTAGGAGTAAATCAAAACCCACCAGTTCAAAATGATATACTGTATCTGTCTTCTCCACCATATTGCCATGTATCCAACTCTAATTACCCACAACCCTTGTTTGCTCTTTTCTGTCTATTGTTTCCTCACCTCTTAGATTGTACATTTGTTACCACCATTGTGACATTTTCACTTGTGTTTGTCTAGAATCTGTCATTGGTACCTTTTTATTCATTATTGTACAGGGCTGAGTAACATGATGTCTCTTCATAAATAAAGGATACTAATATTTGCCTTGTGTGCCAACATTAGTTAAACCGTTTTTTTTTTTTTTGCCAAAGTATTAGGGCTGATCTTCTGTTTTTATTATTTAGGTGATCAATGTTGGACCAAGTCTCGTTCCAAATGCTGTATTTGAGATTTGGCTACCAAACACGTTTGCTCCAAGTGACATCAAGTTATTTAATATTTTGGATGTCAAAGTAAGTTCTATGTCATTTTAGGAAACAATGCATCAATATTGTGCACGTTATGTACACCAGCCTTATGAAATCTACTTGTTTAGGTTCGTTGTATTTAAATATGAAGTTTAATGTATAAACGGTAACTCCACTGCGTCTTGGCTTCAGAGCTCCTGTAATGACATAATATTATGGGTGAGTGTCAACGTGCTTTTGCTCCCATTAGAACTGTTTCTCTCTCCCTATAAGTCTATGGGAATGCAAAACATCTTGAAGAAGGTCAAATGCATCTGTCAATAATTCTGAACAGGAGATTGTGCAATCAAATTTTAATGTGTGGCCAGCTTTAAGTACAGTTAAACCTTCATTTTTTTGCATATATCTACTGTTAGCAAACAGTAGATATATGCAAAAACATTTTATTTAAAAACCTAAAAAGTTACCACATTGGTAAAAACGTACCTGTCTCCGTCGCTCACTCCCGTTCGAAGATCTGAAGGTTCTCAAGCAGCCATGAAGGATCATGGGGCGGGCGCATGTGCAGCAGAGATCTTCGGGCCGGGAGATGAGAGACACAAGGTAAGTCAATGCACGCAGCCGGCTGCGTGGATGCGGACATACGCCCCGTGGGACTCCTGGAGTCTGCGCTGCATCAGAGACCAAGACCAGCGCTGGAGAGATTCCTGAAAACTACTGGAAAGAAAAAGATGATCGGATCAAGAGGAATCATTTAAGGTAAGTCCTTAAAGCAGCATGTGTGTGTGTGTGTGTGTCTGCGTGTATGTGACTTTAAGTAAGACTTCAGTTCAGAATCAATGTAAAGCTCAACTTTAAGCCCTCGTTCACACCTGAACGTTTTGTAGCGTGTTCTACGCTCGACGAACGCTCTACAAAACGCTCAAAAATCTAAATCCCATTGTATTCAATGGTCTCGTTCCCACCTTGGCGTATTTCCGCCCGTCCCTAACGCGCTACAAAACGGCCCACGCCTGAAAAGGTACAGGTACTACTTTGGGCCGTTTTGTTGCGCGTTTCCATTGGGATACAGCCAAGTAGCCTTCGCAAACGCGCGACGGTCGCGCAACTTTTTTACCGCGAATCGCGGTAAAAAATCGTGCGACGGTCGCGCATATGCAATACGCCTAGGTGTGAACGAGACCTAAAATAAACATTTTTCTTCATTTTGGATAGAGTGGAGAAGTGACAGAATCTCTGTTATGTCATTGCTGTGGTCAGTGAACCAATTGGAGAGATGGAGCACAGGAAGGGTGTGCCAGTGTCACTATTGGACAATTATTACATGTATCCCTCCACTATAGTGATTCATACAAGCACGGGCACATATCCCCAGAGAGGTATCTTGCTGTCTATGTACACCATAACCTATCAGCACTAAAAGATTGGCAAATTGTCTGAGGGGGAAAAGTGCATCGTTTTTGCTGTTTTCAGGGCACAAAGTGCTGCCTTAGATATTGTGTATTCAATCATAACATTGTAAAAATAACACAAGTACTGTTCGTTCTTTTTAGACTTCTACTGGAAGTTGCCATTATCAAACTGATACAAAGGTCTGTGACTCACCACCTACTAACAGCACAATATTTAATGATGTAATGGACTTCTTTTCAAGAACTGGGGAAAGGCATTTGGTAAGTATTGATTTTTATTTGTAATTTTTTAAACCTAATCTTATTCACACGAATGTTTACAAAGTAACATATTGTTTACAAGAAAAATGCCATCAGATGTAGTTTTTGAATGCTATGTAATAATGCTACAGAAATATTCAGTAAGGCAATAATAAAAACACTGATGGTGTGCAAAGTGAAGTAACTAACCCAAGCTAGCTAGTCAATTACATGTGTCTTAGTATTAGAGAGTTAATAATCATGAAAGACTATTGCAAATTGGTTCTTTTTTTTTAACAATTAATTTATTAGATTTTGTCAATAGAACAAGAATAAGAACAAAAATAATACAACATAGATACAGACATATAGAAAATAATAATAAATAATACATTATTAGTAAATAATGCAGTCCATATTCAGGACAGTAAGTGGAGGTAATGTTCTTCCAACCATCTCAAAATAAAAAGCATGTGATAACTGTGGAGGCCTAAGAAGTGACTAATATAGGTAAAAGCAGTTTTTTTTGTGTTTTTGTTTTTAACACTGTCAGGAGTATTAGTTGGGGTCATAATACATGAATCGGGCATCTGTTGTCTATCAACCAGCAGGCCCATTGTAAGGTGAATTTGCGAAGTTTCATATTAGCTTTTGCAAACAAAAATTCAAAATGGACATGCGTGTTTAATATTTGTACAACTACGCTGAGTGACGGAGGTTCAGATTGTTTCCAGGCCCGCGCTATTGCCAGGCGAGCAGCTATAAGGATGTGTGAGACTACAGTTCTAGAATTAAAAGGCCAATCATTTAGTCCAATCCCCAATAAGGCAAGTTGTGGGGACCCATTACAAGGAAGGTGAATAACTGTGGAAATAAAGGAGAAAATCGAATCCCAAAAAGATCTGATGGAGACACAAGACCACCAGATATGTAGCAAGGAGCCAACCATTCCACAATTTCGCCAACAAAGCGGTGAGGATGAGGGATAAATTCTGGCGAGTTTCTGTGGTGTAAAGTACCATTTGTGTAAAATTTTCTGTAGGGATTCCCAGTGACTCAAACATCTCGATGTTGTCAAAGGCCACGAGATCTCTTTGTACCATTGTTCCGGGGAAATTGAAAAGTTTAATTCAGTCTCCCACCACTTCATAGACGGTAATTTATCTTGAGATAAGGGCTCACTGAGAAGATTATAAAAGAAGGATATTCCCTTCTTGCGTGAAGAACTAGTGCAAAAAAAATGTAGGCCTCTCTTAATGAGCGTTCCCCCTCTAACACTTATCGATTGCAAATAATGTCTTATGCGAAGGTATTTGTAGAAATCCCTAACTGGAAGGTTATATTTGCTACGTAACTCCTCAAATGATAGTAAATGGCTATCAGTATAGAGAGCATGTAAATGGGTAAGCCCCAAACTCACCCAATTTGACAAGTGCATGTCTTCTAAGACATACTCCAGAGTGGGCAGAGGTAGATGTTTAAGAAGGGATTCGCTGCAGGAGTGTGGGGGGGGGTCGAAGGTGTGCCAGACCCGTAGTGTTGCTGTGACTGTGTCTAGAAAATGTTTAGTGGGGGGGTTATTAAGAAGGGAGGAGCATAATAAAAGCTTGAGGTTTTTATGTAAAATATCACTTTCTATTTGGGACCATATTTTGTAAGGTTGAGGTGACCACCAGAACTTTGCTTGATCCAGCAAGTTTGCCTTATAGTATTTAGCAATATCAGGGGCTCCCATACCAGCATAGGCTTTGGGTGTGTGAAGACATAGTCTCGATATTCTATGGTTTTTGCCATTCCATATAAAATTGTCAAGGATACTCTGTAGTTTATTGAGGTAAGAAGGCAAAAGGGGAATAGGGAGAGCTCGGAACATATATAATATGTGAGGAAGAACAAACATTTTAATAAGATTAATCCTTCCTGCCCAAGATGTAGTAGGTCTGTTCAACTCCGTACAAAGTCTTGATACTTTAAGTAGGAGTGGAGCATAGTTATAAGTAAAAAGGTTGGAGCTAGGGGTCACTAGAGTAATGCCTAAGTATGGGAGGGTGTGAGAGGGAGGCCAGGAGAATGGGGAGGTAACGCTTATAATAGATTTAGTAGTAGACGGAATATTAACAGCCAGCATGTGGGATTTAGAGTGATTGGTTTTATAGAAGGAAACTTTGCTGAATTTCGTGAGGATTTCTTGAACCGCTGGCAGTGAGGTCAGGGGACCAGCCATAGAGATTATGACATCATCTGCATATAATCCTATTTTGTGAGATTGTTGGCCAGCAGAAATTCCTCGTACAGCAGTACTCTCACGGATCGCAGCAGCCAAGGGTTCCATCACCAGTGCAAAAATCAAAGGGGACAGAGGGCAGCCCTGTCGAGTACCATTAGTATGCAAATTGGTTCTTATTGTTGTTTACACATTGCACATAGATTTTGGCTTTACTAATTACAGCTCATTATATTTTGACCTACTGTGTTAAATCAACACGTTAAGAATATAAAGCTTTACCTATTTTCTAGTACTGCTTTAGAGAAGATCCATCTTGCATACATATTAAATGCCCATTTGGAGACATGGAAGTTGAACAGGAGAAAATTGTGGATGTGAAGGTGGAAACAAACCATGCTCTTCTAGAAATGGTAGGTAAAGGTCTAAAATGTGATGCTTAATTTTGGAGGGTCATTGCCAGTCGTTCAGAATCTGATAAGTGTGTTTTTGTATGTATTATCAAGTTTATGGAGAGTGGCAGAGTTCAGTGGTGAAGAACCCATTATGATGGGCTCAAATGGTGGTGTTGGGGGTTTTAGGAAGTACAGATGGGTGGGTTTTAAAAAGAATGGTCATTGTGACTTAAAAAACTTACAAAATGGCTATTTTGTGCATGTTTTTATGTGATTACATAATGGCAAAGGGTATGAATTACAGCACAATAAACAAAACGACATTCTATAAATATGAAAAGCTGCTGAGATAGAACATTCTTTGCATTTATGATGGTGGTATTTTGAATAGTATAGCTTCTACTGTAATTGATAGGGATATTAGATTAGAAGTGGCAATATAATTGAAGGAGGCTGCAGGGTAAGTACATATACAAAGGCCACATAACTATGACTCTGAAATTGCTTGGAGTTTATCACAGCAGTAAGCAAGATTTACTGTAGGAGTCGGCATGGGTTACTCTGACATTGTTAAGATTATAAACACCATGTTCTGAAGTCTGAATGTACTTTTGATAATAAGATTTCAAGATACTGTATATCAAATACATTTAATGAAACTGTTTTCAATATAATGTGTACTATAGCCTTATTTGCAACAACTTACAATATGTAAATTTTTGGCACATTTCAGGAGATTTCTTCATTGCTGCAATTTATTACATCAGCAGCCGTGACATTTGGAGAAAACCAAAGAATTATCAATCGCCACCAGCAAAAATCTGCACTTGTAAGAAAGAATTATTGTTGTCTTTTGTAATTCATTAGGATATAGGGAAGGGCTTAGAGGTTGTATTTTCAATAAGGCCCCATGTGCCTCGTTTGTGGCAACCCGGTCAACACATAGTAAAGTGTACTGCAAGATGATGCTTTCAACTGTACTGAACCATTAGTGGGATTCCATTCAAATGTATGTTCTGCCTCTTTGATAACATATCAGCTTTGGTGTTGCGAGTAGTCACTCACTGACTGCAACCACAATGAAAATATTTAAATGTGAGTTGCCTTTAAACATTGTAATGTGAAGTCTTCCCTCAAGCTCTTCCAGTCCATTAACTTTTGTCCAGAGAGGGAGGGCAACCATAGTGGTGTAGCGAAGTTGGGTGATGGCACCAGCATTTTGTGACCCTGCTAGCATGCACATAACGAAAGGTAGACACACCAAGCCATGTGCCCTCTCTTTGGACCAGATGGATATAGTCTGTCTCCACTGCCACCAGACAGTCCCATCCTCTTCCTATCAGATATTATCAGGCAGTGCAGTACATTGTTTCATACTGGCAAGCCTATTATCAGCAAATTACAGTTGTAGCTTGAGCTTCCCATAGATGGGAATCATGCGGTGCAAATAACTGGCCAACGTACAGGGACGCAGTGATATCTGTGTCTGAATATTATCCACTCAGATATTGATCAGGTGAGATAGCAAATCCACTCACACAATAATTGTATCTTCTTGTCTGTGCATTGTGTAATATTTTGTTTGTCCTCCTTACAGCCATATGTGAATCTGTTCAGATTTCATTGTGTACATATTTGGCAAAATCTTTAGGTGCCTTCTGTTGCTTGTGTTGAGTCAGGTGGTCTGATCTCTCAGTATGTATGGCTGACTTTAAACAAATTTAAAGTGTGGAAGGGTTCAGGCACTGATACATATTTAAGGTAAAGCTTACAAAAATCTGCAGCTGCATATTTACACACTTTTACTTTACTTTGCAGGTCCTATTAGAAGCCGTGCATAATCAGAAACCAAGGAGTCATGTACTATATACAATCATTGGAATCAGCTTAGTACCTGGACTTCTTTTATTTTCACTAATGACGTATATATTATGGAAGGTACATTTGACTTTAAATACAGTTAAAGGGATACCTTGATCTAAATTATCCTCTGTATGCCTATAGTAATCCTTTTTATTACATCCAAATTACACCCGTTAATATTAAACATATAATGGATATACATCAAGTTTTGACATTGTAGCCTATGTTTTATAGGAAGAACAATATTCGTCTTTGCTCCTTAAATCTATATAATAGTAACAAGCGGCTGTAAGAATACTCAAATGGACACAAATATATGATAAATTACAGCTCTAAAAATATAATATACGTGCTCACCCTCCTCTCTGCTAAAAATAAATATTTAACCTCACAGTAATGATCTATCGCTAAACATAAATTTAAAAAAAAAATGTATTCCATTAGAATTAGAAAACTTTCACCTAATAACTGTGGATAGCTCCCCCTATAGGGAAATTAATGAATACACACAAGTAACATAAATATGTAATTATAAATCAGTATACAAAAGGTGCAAACTATCTAACTACTCAGTAAAGTGTTACATCTTCTGTACCAAAAGTGCTAATAGTAAAACACAAAGTAAGTAAATAAATAAATCCACCCTCACTATAGTATTAATTCTGTAAACATATATCCATCAAGATAAAAAAACAACAACCACAGTATAAAATGGATGTAAAGTTCAAAGGAATCCAAAACCAAGTGCAGTCAAGTGCAAAAATTGTCACCTCCACACACTTCCTTTAAAAAGAGTAAACTCCCCTGTCCAAAATGACCGCTTAAACTAAAAATGTAGTAGGTCAATGGAGCATTGAACAGAAGTTGCAGAAATCCATTGCCCGATGCCAGTGTCAATCCCCTCTCATGGTTAACAGGATAGGCTCCAACAATACATTAGACAAAAAAGAGAAACCAACATAGCACAAAACAATTTGATAAAACGTTAAAATCACTTTGTCACAGTCCCAAAAAGTCACCACGCGTTGGGATGCATATACACTGACGGGACTGATATTGTGGTGTGTCACTCCCTTAAGCTTCTATTTGTGCTGAGTGAGCACTAGTGCATTGTCAGTTTTTAAAACTTTTTAATTAAATTGTTCTGCACTATGATGGTTCCCCTTTTCTACTTTATCTAATGCATTGTTGGGGCCTGTCAGCACCATAACACATGCCCACTGGTGCATAAGTACAATATGTAAGTGTGGTGGTGTGCAGATCACTCTGGCAATCATTCAGGAAAGCAAAGAATCGGTAAATATGAAACATATTTCAGTGACGGTTTGTTTTAAAGCTCAGTAACTGTTTGTTATATTACTTGAAAGTCTCTAGAACATAGCCATGGGTTTAAGGACTATTTAGATCATCTTAGAGAGTTTGATTCCAAGCCATAGATTTGTATTGAGAGGAAGAAGAGAAACTCAGTCATGAGCAAATATTACTGCCCCCATTTACATACAATTACAAACTATACAGGAAAACAATGAGTTTAAAATATAAACATTACTTGATAATACGTAATAAAAAGTAGGTTATAGTTTGACTGAAACCTGTCACAAACCTGGGCTATTCAAACTGAACATGATAGAAAACGTGATCATGAGGTAGCTGTAAGTCACAATAATCACTTGATCTGGAGATAAAAGCAACTTCTGTAATAAGCAAACCTCAAACTTTCCTTTAAAGTTCAACCTTGACCCCACTTTACCCGCTTTCCTGAGGCTCCCTATTGATCCTTTTATGTGATAGGTGACCGTTATCAAGAGGTGCAAAAGGGAAGCGGGACAGAGTTTGAGTCAGAGAGGAAAAAGTCAAGATTTTTATATACTTTTAACTGTCAATATCTCTGGATTTACGGATCATTTTAGCATTGGCTTTTCACCGACGGTAACCTCTGCTTAGGCATGTTTCCACTATTGCAGAGTTTGAATTGCCCATGTTTGCGACAGGTTTACTTAAAGCATCTCCTTGACAATTAATTCACAGGGGAATTATTCTGTTAAAATGATAATTTATATATATATATACACAGTATACAGAGACTGCTGGGCATTCCTTAAAAATAAAATACAGAATATAAATGCTGTTTAGAAACAGCAAATGCTGCATAATTTTAAAACAGAGTTGTCAAATGTGTGACATGAGTGAGGTTTAACACCTTCTCTCTCAATATGATTTCTTGTTGACAGATGTATATAACTACTGTTAACGTACATCCCTTCTTCCTTTACACTTCATAATTGAATAGTCGAATGTTTTTTTTTAAATAATTTCATCTGCCAGCCATTATAATATACATGTAACACCTTATCCTTATCTACTTTCCAGATCGGCTTCTTTAAAAGAAAATACAAGATGCTTGAAACAGACGCAGACAGGAAAGAAAGTTGGAGTTTTCTAACACAAGACGAAAAGGAGGAACAATAAACATTGATCAGGACTAATAGCCAAGTTTGATTTTCCATAATGAATGGAAAGCCAAAGGAAAGAGAATGGAGCTTGGGTCAGCTTTAGCAAAGACAATGGATGATTTTACAGACTATTTATTGGGCTCTAACCAAGGTGTAGAACCTATGATACCTTCTAAAGATGTTTATTTCATGATATAAAATGCACTGGGGCCTTTGTAAGTATGTACATGTAACTAAGTATCTCAGGAATGTAACACAAGATTTTTATGAACACAATAGGAATGTAATTAAAATTATTTATAATATAACTTGATGCACAGGTGAGTTTCAGTTAGGGAGAGAACTGAAGGCTTTACACTGGCTAGAGAAATAAGATTACAGTTCAGACTCAATTGAGTATCTCCATGTCTATGGTGGCAGTACCAGGCATGCTAATAGTGTAGCTTACTCCACATAGAGCCATTTGTTTAGTTATCAGTTGCTAGTACTTTTAGTAGCACGGTTCAGCTGATACAAATCTCCTATGTAGCTCTAGAATAGAGAAATGGCTGCCAGCAAGTGGCTACATCTCTAAGTAACAAGAAAATGTCCATGTAGCTTAGCCCTGAGGCTTTACACATTGTTTTGATTCCAGCCGAATCTCATATGTGTGCACAGAAAGCTTCCACAAAAGTATTTGCAAAGCTTTCAGTTAGCTTTGTTGAGGCCTTTAAAGCATTATTCAGCTCCAGTTTGGGGAAGTTAAACACTACCTAATCGGAGTGCTGACTGTCACTTTAAAGTATATCTGATCCCAAGAACAACTATGTAATATATTACAGTTTAACAGTCCTTAGATGGGGTGACTGCATTTGTTTCTTTTTTTAATAAAAGAACATTTTCAGCAAGTACAGAAAATACCTGTTTATCTTGCCAGAAATGCAGTGTCCTTGTCACTTCTTATGAGATATTCTGGAAGGAAAAATAATGCTATTTTCTGTAAACTAATCCCCTACCCCCTGTGTAAAGGAAAAGAAAGAGGAACACAAGTTCAGGGTCCAGCCTGGGCAATACCCAAGATTCCCTCCACAGATACAGTGTAGGAGTGAGCATAGTTTCCCGGGGACAGTCAATGTGTTATTTACATGATTACTATGTTAAAATAAAGTAAAAAGCAAAAAAAGAATAGAAATCAACCTCAGCTAAGGACCGGTAAGCTGTAATATATTATATTTTTGTTTTTGGGTTTAGATATGCTTTAGACAAGCTTCTAGCAGGCTTTCCGAAGGCTTCAGCAATAATCTTGTTGGAAGCCTGCTAGCATTTCATTTAAAGTGACAGTTACTAATCCTGTAACTCCATTTTTTTGAGACGCAAACAATCCCCTAAGGGTGATCTATGTACATTGTAAAGATGTGAGTAAACTTTGTAGGAGATCTTTACCTTTTCTGTTCTGAAGAAATGGATGTTTGTTTCAACATGTCCTTTCCACACTGACTTCTGAACAGATGAGTCTTCATTATACCTACCTGGTGTAATCTCAGTGCTCTGATGAGAAGAGCTGCAGTGTCTGCATCCTTTTACAAGTAGCTCACCCTTGGGGAGTATCTCGCCCAAACTGCAATTGCTATTGCAGAGAATGTCTAAAATTTGGCATCTTTGTGCAGTGGTCTGAACAAATCAGTGAGCCGATAATACCAGCAGGAAATTTCATTTCCAGGGGCCCTCCTGCATACTATAGTTGTCCTCCGAGTTGAAATTTCCCTTTCTGAAACTGAAGATTCATTTAAAGGCTTCATCCAAGCTGCTTGAAACTTGCTGTACACATTTATCTTTTACATACTGAAGTCCATATGCCTAAGGGAGAAATGACTTTTCTCAGGGCCCGTGTGGTGTACAGGGTGACTTTTCTCAGGGCCAGTACATGGTGTTATCGTTGGGCAGCAGCCCAAATATCAGGCACGACCCATTCCTAAATGCAGCACACTGTAAAGTACAGCACGTGTAGTTCAGTGCTGGTCCCTGTTACCATAATGCAGAAAAATGAATGGGCTCTAAGGATCTCGTTTCATCATCCCTGCTGCTACTGTAGGAATGTTTTACTTAAGCTCACAATAAGGTTTTCACAGCCGTGACACTTGAATTCCGCAATCTTTACAGTGTAGGCTCTAGGAGATGTAGTTGTGAATCACACACTGATAGCTTCAGTACTTTAAGAATAGCAGCACGAGGGATGGTGTGTCATCTTTCCTAACAGCGGTTTCCTCTACAACACCATCAAGCATGACAATCGATCCAGTATGACAGTGGTCTGGTGATGAAGACTGTCTACTATCATGGACAAATTGGCTTTGGATGGAATTATCATTTACCATTATTAAAGTGTTTTAGATTTGCACATGGTAAACATTTGTGGTTTAGGTCCAAGCTAATAGTTACACATGCTGATACATATTGAGCAAAACAAGGCTTCTGAGCACATTGTATTAAGAAAAAGGACTGTTGTAAAAAAAACACTAAGCTATGTACTGAAAAACATGCCGACCACACCTGCGTTGTAATAATTGTTCATATTTCAGATGATAGTGTATATAGTTCTTTAAGCACACACGTCAAACTGAATTAACATTTCTACCATTTGGTGGTTTGAAATCAGTCTGGCATTGTTTCCTCCAGCTATGCCCGAGGCGCTGTATGTAAATGAAGACTTGGAGAAGCATAAGCAAAGGCTGAACTGGTAATTGATAAGCTGCATCTTCAGTAATGTTCCTTCAGCATACAAAATGGCTGCCTCCACTGTGCTGACAGTAAAAGATGAAGCAATGTTTTCATGTATACAGTCCACATCAAAATATTTGTGATTAATGAACTCCAGAAAAAAAAAATGAACCCTTGCAGTGGGGCTACCCCTGTGTTCGTCCAAGAACTAAAATAAAAAAGTTGTACTCAACCAAACCTCCAAGCTGGCCTTCTGTCACAGCACTCCCTCCAGTCTGCCTCCTCTTGTGCTGCAGCAAATGTATGTCTCTCAGCATCCACACATCCTATACGCTATGTATAGAACATAATGATCTTGTGGACCTTAGACTGCTGCAGCAGAGGGGGAGAAATACTGAAAGGATCGGTCTAACAACAAGTCAGCTCTGTGGATCTGGTGAATATAACTTTTATTTCAGATCATTGCGGGCAGTTAACCCTTCCAGCGTAGCCCAACTGCAAGGGTTAAAAAAATGTTTTCCTGGAGTTCTCTAAAACAGCTCCTCCAGTACCTTGAGGGTGGGATTTCCTTCCACAAATTGCATGACAGCCCAGGCAACAATGGGTTATGCCAAAACAAATGGTATACAGGAGTGGAACTTCATACATCTTGGGAATGATGATAAATATAAAGCGCTATTCACATATTAAGCTGCTAAAACATACTGCAAATGCTTTGCCCAGAAACAGCCATACAAGCTGACTTAAAGGACCACTTCACCTTTAGTGAAGTGGTCCTTTATTTAATCCATTGCCCCACTGAGTACAGACAGCCTGGTATTATACTTATCTTCAGCCCCAATCTAGTGATCTTATCACCGAAACGGTCCTGGCTGGCTCCTCTTCATTCTGCGTGTGTGCGTCACGCCCCTATTCATTCCTATGGGGAGAGTGACCACTGGAGGCCACAATGAATACTGATTACATTACCTAGGTCTCTCAAAACACTCTCCTCTTCACGTGGCAATGTATGGGCTGCTCAGATAGCACATGCTGAGTTGTAGGAAATGTAATGCGTTCCCGTGTACCCAGTAGTAATGGGTGAACACATGTTCGCACTAGGTGCTGCAGGCAGCCCTTTTTTATTGGAATGGACATCTTACTGCAGTTGAATCGCACTGAAAGAAATGTGTACACCTTCTTTTCTATAAATGGCACTGCACCACATCGCATGGTAATAGGTTTAAGATCATAAACCCTTAACTATTTGGGGACCCATAAAACAGACATAAGGGGTACCAACACAGAATCATTTAGTCTGTAACCCTATGTTTTGTGAACTGTCACATCTCTGTATTTAGAACGTAATTATCCATTAAAAAAGGTTCCACCAACCTACAGAAAGATCCATCTTGACAATCCTTTTCTTGTCTGCACGCAGTGAGGACAACCATTGCCAAGCTGCTTGTAACAATGCAGTTAGGTGCTAGAGTGAGCATTGCTTAAGCCCACAAAATGAGTGCCATAATTATACACTGCTAGATGAAAAACCATAAATCAGCTAATTATAACAGAGCAGATTTGTTAGGAAGAAAGAAAAGAGAATAAATAAATAAAACAGCACAATTCTAAAACAAACTTGTAAAAAATTTATTGCATATTTTTGAAAATGATCTATAGTGCAAGTTTACAATTTCTAGTACAATTCTTGTAAAATAAATGTTTCTATGATACTGTATTCCACATTTTTCTACAGAAAGAATGCTGTAGTTGTAGGTTCAAAGTTGATTAAAGAGACCCTGTCACCACAGTACATGCTGTAGCCTGAGCATATGCAGTAAAATCAATAATTTATCATTACAGTTTTGTTAGGTGGTAAACCATGCTTTCGTTTTTGAGTAATCCAGTTTTTAGTTCTGAGGCAAAACTTCCTGTAGTGTCAGACGCTCTCTCTCCCCCTCCACAGCCCGCAGCTACATGCCTTTCCCCCCCCCAGTCCTTCCCTGCCTGCCATCACCAGAGCTTCAGAAGCGGACTGGAAGCCTCACACAAGAGGGTGCTCCAGAATACACCAAGGCTTCATTCTATCTTGCTCTGGATGCTAGGATTGTTAACAGTCCAGTATTGTTAACAGTAGCAGTCACATGACTTGACTGTTTACAATCCAGAGCCCAGGCTGAGCAAGGTCCATGGAACCCTCTGGGTGCATTCCCATGCAAGGCTTCCCATTCAGCTTCTGGACCCCTGGTGATGTCAGGGTGGTGGTGGGGAATCAAGCTGCAGGCTATGTAGTTGGATAAAGCCTCCGACACTTCCAGAAGTGTTAGCCAACGCTCAAAACTGGATTACTTAAGAAAGAATGAACTGATACCAAAGAGCTAAATGCCTGCTTTTCACTGCACATGTTCAGGATACAATGGGGGGAATTTATCATAGCAATTGCGAGTATATATATAGTTGATGCACTTTGCACCAGATTTATGTTGCTAGTGTAATGTTGTTCATAAATAGACTCCAGGAAAGAAGACTCGGAACTCCAGGCAAAAAGCTTAACTGTCGCCTCTTGAAGAAGTGATCATGGGGACATCTTAAATTGCGATTGTTTTGTTAGGTGATGCTCCAGTTTCAGACAGCCCAGAACAAGTGCAGATGAAAACAGACACAAAGCAGGCGCAATTGGAAAAGTAGTGCAAGCTCAGGTCAAACCGGGCGCACATGGTAAAAGACAGATTTGCACATTAAAAAAAATGATCTAAGAGGCTTTAAAACTGTTGCAATTGCTTTGATATATTCCCTCCAATGTGTACTGCGTTGATGGGGTCTCTTTAAGGCACCATGTGTTTGAACTTAGGTTTACCTCAAGGATCCTGGTGTTAAGAACCACATAGTGAAGTTTCTCTGTGTCCTACTCTGATGGAGTAGCTTTACAATGACAGATCTTCACATCATGAATCCATAGGTCTGTTAGTGCTGTAATCAACATACACTCAAAACTAATAGCTTTAAAAGGGAAGTTCTTTATTTGAGTTGGCTTGAATGTTTTATGGCTGTAAATGTGTTTCTAATTATAGGAATATTTCTGAATGGAAAAAAAGCAATGTTTCTGCTCTCACAAATAAAGATGTAATTTTTGTAAAAAACTGCAGCATGGGAGCATATTTTCCTCTACACTACAAGCAATTGCACTTTCCTTTCACTTCATCCAGCTCTTCAATGTTACTCCCATAGAGATTAATCAGTTCAGGATGCAATCTATAAAATAAGGAACATTACATTTCAATTCCCATTTTGGAGGTAAGTTGATAGTTCTCATTCTTTTCATGCAAAATCTTTAATTTAATATAACAATACAATACAGCTGACCAACTTTTAGCTCAAGTGAAACTTCAGTTTCATGAAACAAAAACCATTTCAGTCTGTGCAAGGGTCTGGCTCTACCACGATCATATGATCATAGTTTTGTAAAAAGAAAATCTGCAGCTTGAACATCCCTTTATATGTGAGATATATGTTTTATTAAAAAAGGAAACCTATTCCACGGATGCCTTTAAAGAAGAACTCCAGGGAAAACTTGTATTAACACTTAGGCCTTCTTCACACTGGAGCAGGCGAGGGCGTGGCGGTGCGATCGGACGCGTGGCAAAACTTTGCCTGCGTTCCGTTCCAGTGCAAACAAAAAATAGGGCTTGCTGGAAGCAGTGCCATTGAATTCAATGTACCGCCAGTTCTTTGTAATTTGACTTCTATTCAGACTTCTGGAGAAAATGACAATCACATTAGTAAGGACCTGATCATTTCCAGGAGCCCTGTTCACAAATTATGTTGTAGCCATGGCTGCAAGAAATACAGTTTGGCTGTTAGAAAAACTCTTGCCAGGTTGCAGTTGCGCTACAAAGGTAAATAACAGAATTACAACAACATTATCATGCTGTATCAACGTTTCACAAAAATTGAGTTTTACTTCAAATATCAGTTTTATGGTATTTATATAGGGGGCCTAAATTCATTTTCAATGTCTACACATTTTTTAAACCTCAGCATTGAAGCCCAGCTCCAGCTTGAAGATTATCTAAACCCAAACAATACATACTTTACCTTTTTTCACCCTTTATTTTCACTTGGTGATCCTGCCATTAATACTCTTCCTGTCTTAGGGTGACAACACTCACTCAATGTACTACATTTTTATAAGAGCAGTGTTGTTACCCTAAGCTGCTATCCTGATTTGGACCACAAACACCCTCCCCCATCTATATTTCATAGTAGAGACTTATTTTGTAGTTAACCGTAGAGGACTGGAAAGGCTAATAACACTGTTTGAGATTTCAGTTCAGTACACAGAAAGTTATAAGGACATTGGGTTTCTAGCAGGATTAAAATATATTTAAAGCCAAAACTTGTTTTAAAGGACACACTGGATTTCTATCAGGATTAAACCTTTCGCTTTCACCTTTTTTTGGAACATACAGTATGTTAAGATGCACATAAATTGATTAAAGCACCCTCCCCCCATTATATATTTTCTGAAAGCAGATACCCTGCAGAATAGAATGGTGGCAGTTGCTATTTTTATATCACACAATATTAGCACAAGAGTTAATTAAACCCAAATTTTCAGCAAAAAAAGTTATTCAAATAATTTTTTGTGCACAAGTACACAACAAAACCTATTTTTTTTGGTAAAAGATGAGGTTGCAGAAAATAGATCCCAAATATGTCAATCCTCAAAATTGTGTGCATCCTTGAAATGTAGTAAAACTTTGGTACCCCAAATTTTCCATAGACGATGCTTTAAAAGCTTTTACAGATGTACACACCGGAAGGGGGCTTTAAACATTTTTTGGAGGGTTAATTATAAACTTACATTTTTTTACACTTAACTTTATTGCAACTTTATTGCAATAACACGGGGGTGTTTAGCTACTACATCTAAGGACTGGCAAGCTGCAATATATTAAATGTTTTTCTTGGGATATATTATAATTTGAAAAAATATTCTCTAGCATCTGTTTAAAAAAAAAGCAGCTCTGGCTGCAACAAGGGCTTAATTTATAAATCTTCCCCCATCAAGGGCGCTAGTGCAATGCAAAGTTTTATAAATTAAACCCTTAACTTATCTCTACCGTTATTCCTCTACAGACTCCCGACTCCGTAATCCAGTGCTGGTTCTCTTTTAAACAATGCCCAGACTTTGGGCTTTAATACTGTAAGTGTTTTAACTCGATCCATGCTCGGTACAATTGAAGAGCCCTTTATAGAGCTGGCTATTTAGTTTAGCCCTTAGTCCATGTTTGGCATGCCTATTAAAAAAGCACTATTCATGTCACCATAAAGTGTGGTCATCACCTACCCAGGATGTTGACTTTCAACCCATAGCTGGCACTCACCTCACTTGAACCTCAGAGGATGTTTCCAGTAAGTCTCCATCAATATTCCAGGGATGGACATCTTCACTGGAAACAGAATGCACTTCACCGTTCTGTTCGATGCTTCTAGTCCGTAACTTTACTTCTTTAACCAAGTAGGTTTCCACAAATGGAAAATTAAACTATAAATAAAATACAATAAAAGCAGTGTTACCTGTAGAGTTCTATGTGCATCGTGCAAGTACTTTAATTACAAATAAATTCTAAAAAAGCAAACATACCCGCTATTTATATGCAAAATAGCCAAGTAACACAACACTGAGCCTCATTTATCAAAGTGTCTTTCTGAACATTTCCATATTCAAACTTTCATTATCATTTCATATGCAGTCATAAGTCACTGCAGTAGTATGACATGAACCAAGAAAAAAGTCTTGTGCTGCAAGGTACAAGTTGATAAAAGGTCTACTTAGTGTTATCTACCCTTTTACTCAGCATAATGTAGGGGATGAGTTCAACACAGACACAGTTTGTAAGGGTCCTTGGTACTGGCATGCAAATTAACTGTCTTCCTATTGCAAATTAATGATACACTTATAGTTTGTTGCGTTTAGTGATTTTGACAGTTTCTCATTTTAAACAATCTACTGTGTTTTTTTGTTTATGTATGCCGGAGTTCTACAAGGCACCTTCATGTTCCCAGACGTATATTTGTTATCTGTTTCAATAAGAGTCCAATTCTTTTTCTATGATAGTGTATGGATGGTCTACTGTTCTTTGCCTTTGAAACTGCTAGGGTCACTATATATTGAGAATTGTAAGATTCACTTACAACTCCATCTACTAGAGCCAAAATAATATAGCTTTTGCAACCACTGACTCAAGGTGCACTTACTTTTCATAATTTCAACCTGTACTGTCTAAAGGTGGTCCTTATCTGATTGTAATTGAATTGCTATAAAGACTTTGTTAACCAAACAATTCAACAAATGAAGTTCATAAAGGTATTTGTGTGTACAGAGCCATATAGGAAGCAGAGGAATATGTGTTCATATCACTGGAATTGCTGTAAAATGTTACACAACTAACTCTTTAGGTGTATTGTCTGCCAGGCTTTTTATCCTACCCTGTTATCCACAACTGCTTCCTTATTTCTTATGCCAACCTTCAAATTGTAATAAAAAGGTGGTCATACATATGGGGAATTCTTGCAAAATCATTTGCTTGAAATGCAGATCTGCAAATCCATGCATATGGGATGATCCCCATAACTGTTTTTATAGTAATATTAATATAGACTAGTGTTACCCAAACAGTGGGACCACTACAGCTGCAGCCAGGTCCATTGTGAAAGTTTCTGCATCAATCTGAATGCACAGGGCTCCTTAGGGCAGAGGACCAGAGTGCTGGAAAGCCTGTATAAGGGTTAATTACATATGAACAGAGACTGTAGCAGATTCCAATTTAACATGATGCTGTATTTGACCCTTTGACTGAATAAACCTTCTCACCTCTGTGTTCCCTTGTGGCAAAAGTGTGTAGAGGACCTTGGGATGAAAACACTATTATATTTTTCAGCTTTTTTCTATTTGTTGAACAGCACTGAGACAAGCAGGCATCATGCAGCTTACAAATAAGGGAACTAGAGCAAACGAGCAGCCAAGCTTGGCAGGAAATGAAACTTTGTGCAAAATTCAGCAGCAAGGATGAATTGCCTCATTGTCCCATCTAGCCAGACAGCACCTGCTCTGAAAATGAGTAATAATGGGCTATAAAATGATTTTGTAAATAAGTAACTCAGTGTTGATTCATTTGTTTTAACATATTTGCTTTTCAAAAATTCTGAATTGACCACCCTTTAAAAGAACAAGTCCATCCACATGTATTGGTTTTGATCTGGATGGTATAATATAGCATAGGGCTCATTCTCACTGCAATCACTGTTACACATTATGCTGCTTTTTCTATTGTGGAATAAATGCGTTGTTAGGAAAAAACAAATTCAGGTATACAGGACAGGCAGTTTTTTGGATCATCGTTCCAGTTGAGCAGGAATCTGTCCAGCTACTAGCTGGTACAATGGACTTCTAATGGGGAGCCTGGGCATTGGATTTTAAAACAAATGTCTTTCAAAAGTGCACTTATTCTTTAAGGTTAAATTGTTGCTCTTGTGTGCCCTGAATCTTCAGTCCATTCATTTTAGCAGGTTATGTTACTAATCGTATGAGGGATGGATTAAAGCAAGCTAAGCTGCATTAGTCTGATTGGTGATTTACTAGTGAGTCACATAATGGCTAATGTACTCAGACAGGACCGGAAAATAAAGTCTTCCTAAGAGGACATCAATGTTAATCTGGTGCGTTGTTTAACAAATACAAGGAAGCTTCAAAACATGTACCTGATTTTTCAGACTGGCATAGCGCTTTAAATGCTTCACAAATTCTTGTCTTGACGTATTCCGTGCAACTATAAGTGACATTGTTCCATCATTCAGCCTAGCAAATGAATATATAAGCAAAAATATATGTAGATTAGGGATGTAAAAGTTAAATGACCTGAATTGCAGCTATTTATATCATATGGCTGCCACCAAGGGATTTTTCTGGCCCGCTGATGTGCACTTAAAAGGTTTCCAGTGACCCAAGCTATTTAAGGGTGTCCAGAAAAGGCATCTCCATCTGGAGGGATGATATGCATCTACTACTACTCTTATTATTACAGGGATTTTATATAGTGCTGACAATTTATACAGCATTGTACATACTGTACATTTATATCAGTCCCTGCCCTTACAATCTAAGGTCCCCATTTCACACCCATACATACACGCACACATATACTAGGGTTATTGTTGACATAAATCAAGTAACTTACCAGCATGTCTTAGGAGTGTGGGAGGAAACTGGAGTACCCAGAGGAAACCCATGCAGGGAAACCCACACAGATATAGGGAAAACATGCAAACTCCTTGCAGATAGGCTACTGGCTATGATTTAAATCGAGGACCCCAGTGCTGCAGGGCAGAAGTGCTAACCACTAACCCACTGTGCTGTTGGGTCATTATTATTAATATACATACAGTGAGGAAAATAATAATTTTTTGATCCCCTGCAGATTTTGTAAGTTTGCCCAAAATCATAGGTGTGTTTTAAATGATAGAGACAAAATATCAACCAAAAATCCAGAAGAAACACACGATAAAAATGTTATAAATTGAATTGCAGTTCAGTGAGTAAAAGAAGTATTTGATCCCCCTACCAACCAACAATAATTCAGGTTCCCACAGACTGGCTATGTGGTACACAGATCAGTCCTGTCCATTTAAGAAGGTGCTCCTAACGACAACTCGTTATGTATACAAAAGACACCTGTCCACAGAATCTCTTTCTTCCATTCATCCTCACCACCATGAGCAAGACCAAAGAGGTGTCAAAGGACGTTAGGGACAAGATTGTAGATCTGCACAAGGCTTGAATGGGCTGCAAGACTATCATATGTATTCTGAGCAGCTAAAAATGTTGCTTGCAAGCTTTTTTATGCAGGTTAGTGCATTTGTGTCTGTGTGTATGTATATCCACTCGTTCCCGCGCCGAGAATCAGGAACTGCTCGTACGGCCGCAAAGGATCTTGGGGCGGGCGCATAAGTCTATGGACGCGTGCATCCGCCTGCAGACACCGCTGGATCGGAGAGACAGAGCAGTCAGCGCTGGATCGGAGTGACGTCACACCGCTGGAGGGACACATGAAAACATGGGGAAAGAAGAGGAAGAATCGGAAAAAGAGACATCATTTAAGGTAAGTGTTAACATTTACATTGGAGGGAGGGAAACATTTTTTTGCCTTTAATGTCACTTTAAGGAATTAAGCCAGGTTATAACTAGACCATTAATCCTAATTTTTAAAGGGGTTCTAAACCATCCATTTTTTTTCCCTATATCTACTGCTAGCAAGCAGTAGATATAGGCAAGAAGTTTAAAAAAAAAAAAACGCTTGAACTGGTTTTAAACTTACTTGGTTATCGCTGCTCGTTCCAGCGCCGAGAATCATGAAGTGATCGTACGGCCGCAAAGGATCTTGGGGCGGGCGCATGCGTAGTTCCGATTATCGGCCGGTAGACGAGCAGAGACGCAAGGTAAGTCTATGGACGCGTGCACCTGCCTGCAGACACCGCTGGATCGGAGAGACAGAGCAGTCAGCGCTGGATCGGAGTGACGCCGCACCGATGGAGGGACACATGAAAACATGGAGAAAGAAGAGGAATTTGTAACTATGACATACACTGAGAAAGGATGATGTAAGATGAGCTTGACCCAAGTTCTCGTACAGTGTACAATAGCAGCTGGTTGGAGAGCTGGTTGTAAGTCCGAGTCATTAAACAGGTAGGTTGTAATGTAAGGAGTAGCTGTATACACACATACACACACACACACACACACACACACACACACACACACAGTATACTACATAATACAAATAAATATTTTTTTTATATGTAAACACTTTTTTAAATCACTTTGCTTAATGGTTTGTACATAAATATATCCATTCTTAGCTTTCTTATAAAGTAATACAATAACAATATGAATATTTGAAATTTTTGAGCTAAACTGCTTGACCTAATTTTACAGATCCTCTAATTGCTTATAATCCTAAAGACTGACTAGAGCCCATCTCCACGGAGGGGGTGAATCAAGGAGCAATCTGCAGAAACAACTTACAAAAGGTTTATAATCAAATTGGCAGTGAGGAGAGGAGTAATTCTTGTAAGCTTCTACTGACCTGGTATTAGGCGCCAGGCCTCTTGGGGCCATGGAACAAAGGCAGGGGATTGCCATAATGCTGACATTCAGCAACTGACCCTGGATGTGCTGCCACTGATCCTTGCTCTCTGGACGAAGTTAAACACATAGTTATTACAGCTCATTACAAGCAAGTACATTAATTTCTCATTCTCTAGATTAGACACTCACCAGGCTCAACATAATTCCCATCTTCCTTCTTTCTACAGGGAAAGACATTGGATATTAACATTAGTATGAACAGGCCTGGTTATAAATTATTATACTGGCAATGGATTTTAATACACAGTACAAGTAAATGAAAAGCTATAGCTATTAGATGACATGACCTGACCTGGTCTCTCTAGTTGAGAAAACCTGCCTTGACTGCTACCATCTCCTTTGTGCTAAGTAGTATTGCCATAGTTTCTCCTCTCCTGAGTGTCATCAATATGACTGTGTATACATGTCTGACCACTCTAAGTAATATATAGCCAACTTAAATTACATGATAATCATTACACAATGTGGCCAAAAGTTTGTGGGCACCTGACTATCAGCCCTAAATGAACTGGTTGGACATCCCATTCGACCCCCTCCCCCCCTTGGTGCTGGTGTTGGGACAAGAAGACCTGGGTCACAGTCAGTGTTCCAATTCATCCCAAAAGTGTTCAGGAAGGTTTAGATCTAGCCTCTGAGCAGGCCACATGAGTTCTTCCGGATCAGTACTGCAATACTGGAACAGAAATGGCCTTTCCCCTAACTGCTGCAACAAGATTGGAATGCACAATTGTCTATAATGTCTTTGTGGCATTAACGTACCCATCAATAGAATGACCTGAACTACATTTGGACGGATAGTAGTTGTGATGGTCCACAAACGTTTGGTCATATTTTATTGACTGTTTATTGACCATACTGTTATATCCTAGCACATGGGTAGGCATCCTTGGCACTCCAGCTGTTGTGGAGCTACAAATCCCATGAGGCATTGCTAAAAGCTACAGACATGATTCCTAGAAACAGAGGCATCATGGGAGTCATAGATTCACCACAGCTGGGGTGCCAAGGTTGCCTACCATTGCCCTAGTACCTTTGCTCTTATTACAGGGGGCCCTGTACTCATTCCATTCAATATAAGGCCCACAGCCAATGTTACTCTAAAGACCAATATGTCAGAATGTCACTCTTTCCACCCCAAGCTGGGTGAAACTTGATCAATTTCTTTTGAAATTCTTTTGAAATGAACCTATGGTCAAACTGTGGATATTCAAGTATTTACATATTATAAGTAAGTTATAAATGAGCTTCTTTAAAACAAGCCCTCACTGACCTGTGTAGCTGCCGGCACTCTAGAGCAACTTATCCTCAAAATTTACAGTAGACGCACTGCAAATTCTCCCTGAAGTCATTCTTTCATCATCTTTGTTTACAAAAGGTGAACAAAACACACTGAGGTGAATTTATAAAAACTGGAGCAGCTGTGCATGGCACCCAATCAGCTTCTCTCTTTCATTTTCAAATCTTAACTAAACAAACTGAAGAGAGAACCTGATTGGTCACCATGCACAGCTGCTCCAGATTTTGTCTGTTCCAGTTCCCCCCACTGTGTTTATATTAGACATAAAAAATCTGGAAGCCTTCTGGGCCACCGGCAGGAGGGGAAGCAGGGGGAGCTGAGCTGCTGAGAGAATAAGTTGGAGGACTTCAGTGCTTCTACTGTGATGTCGGAGGATACAGATTGCCTGTAGCTACAGAGGCTGTAAGTTGTTTTAAAATGCATTTACTGCTTGTTCAGAGTATGTAAATATTCCAATGTCCATAGTCTGGCCACTTGTTTATTATTTAATTGTGAGCCCATAGTAACTGCTTTTATTGTTAAGGTAAATAGAAAATGTATTCCTTACTTGTGTTCTCCGTAAAAACTGGATTGATGACTTATTATGGGTAAAAAAGATAGTTCACAGATTTCTGGTCTGTAAAACATGAAAAGCGTATTAGTAATCTTTATCTGAAAACTTTAATTGAGCATATACTTCTACAATTATCATATATGTTCCACTGAAAAATACTTTTTTCCCTATTAAAAATAAATAAACTTTACAGATGTAATGGAGCCGACCTTTTTGTAAATGTTATACTGTACATTTTATGGAAGCTTGTTCAGAGCTAAACAAGTTTAGTGAAAGGCGCCATGAAGAAAACTTTATAACATATAACTCTCCGTGTCGGCGAGCACCTGACTGATAACATCTGTTTTAACAGGTGTCACCATTTAGTGCCTGCTTTTATAAGTTGGTGTTCAACCACTAACGTGTACATATTAGCCTATGTACTGGCTGTGCACTAGGTAATTTTAAAGTCCACGTTAATTTGGCCATTATATGCTGCAAACCTTTTCATAACCATACCATAAAAGATATTTGTTCTGTTCTGACTGTGCTTGCTATGTCTTGCAAACATAGGGTCTTAGGGCAGTCCTTTATTCTTGGGACTTGACCCTTCAAGGAGTAGTCAAATATGTTAGCAAGTTCAGAGCCACATTGCAAATCGAAATATTGTTTATAGAAAGGAAAAATGCTGCAAGTAAGCATTCAAAATACTTTTGGCTGCAATTTTTTAAGTTGGTGACAGGGTCTCTTTAACCAATCTTTTATAAAAGTATAGTTGATGTTTGCTATGATCACTTCCCACAGCTATTTATATAACAGACAGGTAAGAAAACCACTTACTTTAAGTTGGCAAGTGTTTTAATAACAGCAAAATCTCTTCTCTGAGTGGAGGGCATCCAGCGATGTTTTTCGGCAAGAGCAAGTGTTCTTCCACCAAATCCAAACATGGAGGAAAACCCAAACCGCAGGAGCCTGTGGTCACAGCTGAAAGTGCAGGCATCTACCAGCTGGATGTTTCCTGAAATTTTACAGTAAGGGTAACGTATTAGATGATAAAAGATATTCGCCCAGACATTGAAATATATTCCAGGAGAGGTCAACAAAGTGCAATATAGATCGCTCAGCACATTTTACTTCTGATCCCTCCTAGGAAGTGACACCACAGGTGAAGTAATTTTGATAAGAATTACGCACAAGGTTATCCAATCTCATTACATTGCCACAGCTTGCGACAGTTAACACTTTGTTTGAGCATACCTTGTATAGTAACAGAGTGAATTATGCACACGCAGAACTGGTTAATTCTTTAATACCTGCATGTACAAATGGATGCACTTACAAGCTGCTTAATTGCCACACTAGCCTAAACTGTGTTTATGCAGTATCTACCTGCAGTATCTATGTGCTACCCAGATGGTAATGCTAATGTCCTCGAGGTGCTAACTCATACACAATTTACATTAAAATGTTGATTTGAGTCCTAGAGAACTGTTCCTTTATAGTCCTTTTTAAGACCATAAAGAAATCTCCACTTTCCAGAATTACAATAATTATGACTTAATAACTTGGTTTAGATTAAAGCAAAACTCCAGCCAATCAGGGAGTAGAGCTGAGCCTAGTTTGAATTACCCAGAATTGTGACAAGTTAATTGTTCTGTCTAGAGTTGGCAAAAAATACTTACCCATAATGATGTGCAATGCTGCAGTTACATAGTGTCTAATTCCGTGCAGAGAATAAGCCAGAATATTGGTGGTACCTAGAAAAACAATGTATAAAGTAAACAGAACTCACACACCTTGGATTTAAAAACATCATTTAGGCCTGATTCACACCTAGGTGTCAGCATTTTTGAGCGTAGAAACGTATATTTTTTGCTGCACCTTTTTATGTGCGTAAAACACACGTGCAGTAAGTTGCACCTTTTCTATTAGCAGATTGTGACAGGTTGATGTAAATGGGCAAAACCAACTGCAACGTGCTTTTCCAAGCGTTTCCTATTTGACTTCATGGGGCAAAACGAGCTGCAATTTGCCAAAAGGAAGCTCAAGTACTTTTTCCAGCGACCGGCGTTTTGCTTATTGCGACAAAACGCTCATGTGTGAATGAGGGCCATGAGAATGAATGGGATTCTTTTTGTGAAGCATTTTGTTACGCTTATTCAGCTGTGACAATACGCTCAGTGTGAACCAGGCCTTAGACCTTTTGTAATTTGAACTAGACTTAACTGTACCAATGTTATATGAAATAGTTTAAAATGAAGGTCAACCAGGGAAATTAAATAACAACCTGACATTTTAAAGGTTTGTTCTATTAATAGGGCCTGCTATATGTGCTAATAACTGTTCCATAAAACCTGAGTCTATTGAAGGAAATTAATATTGCTAAGGTAGGAAATGTTTTGGCTGCCATCCTGATGTCATCATATCTCCAGATTGTCACTGAAAAACAATGGATTGTCACACACTATACCTTTAACTGATAAATATGTGGTCATTTCTTCTCAACAATCATAATATTCAGTTCATTAATTCAATCAGAAACTGCATTAAACAAATATGTACCCACTGTCCTTTGTACAGCTACAGAAAGTAGTAGCACACGTCTCAACCACTTTCATTACCGTTATACTCTTAAATCCATCATATCTTGTCATATTTCAGATAAGGATGTCTACAGGAGCATGGACTCTATGGTAAGAATCTCTTTCAGCTCTCTTAGTATCTATGTAGTAATAGAGCAGACCAGGCAGCTTGTAATAAGTGGGGACAAAAAAGTGTAACAAAAGGGACAGAAGAGAATGTACCAGTAAGGGCATGTTTACATCACCTGCTTATAGCATGTATGAGTGTCTTCAAAGCATTTTAGGTTTCACAGGTGTTTTATGAGCATTTTTTTTCAAGCCTTTTGAGGGCTTGTTCACACCGTGTCTGGAGCAGTGTGTTTTTGACATGTTTTGATGCATTCTGGTGCAGGTTTATTTTTGCTTAAAATGGGCTTTCAGATGCAGTCCAGTGCATTTGCATGCATTTACATGTGTTTCGGTGCATTCCAGACCAGGAAAAAAAAAGTGTATGCAGCAATTTGTTTCCAGCACGAACTGCACTGGTGTAAACAGAGCCCAGAAAAACCATTGGAATAGATTGGGTTGCATTTCAGGTGCAGAAAAAAACTGTTCTGGTACGGACATGGTGTGAACAAGCCCAAAGATGGGGAGGTGTTCTATCGTCCTGTCCTAGGCTGACAATGCTGTTCCTGCATAGAAACAATGTAGTAAGTGAGTACGTCACCCTAGGAATTGAAGTGTGTTACTGGAAAGATCACCAAGTGAAAATAAAGGGGAAAAGAAAACTAAAGCAGCTGCCAAAACTAAGCCCTGGATCAGCTGCAATAAATTATATTTTTGTTTTTAGATAACCTTTAGGAGAAAAATTGAGGCCATCACACTACCGATTATGTATAGTGACTTGGCAGCAACAAAAATCACTAAAAAAAACACTCATATGCTCTTACATTTTTCTACCTCGTTGGCTGAAATCTCACCCATCAGGGATGAAGCAGCAACTGAGTGACACCTTGCTGGTTCACCCAGCAGAAGAGAGGCATTATAGAAGCAGGTGTAAGGATGTGTTCCTATACAGTCTTGCTGTAGTAGTATTTGTTTGGCATTTTTGCAAAGGCTCTTTGCTGAACATTGTGCCCAAGGACAATCTGTATCACATCATCGACCAGGTTCTATTAAGAAGGCTCCAGAGTTCTGTGAAAGGGATGGGTACAGAAATTCCTGCCTGTTTTGTCAGGTGACCAGCCCATGGTGAGGTAGTCATTAGCGGGTTGGTCCAGGTTTCAAAAAATATGGTGGTGTTGTTCTGGAGTAGTCCTTTAGTAGCTCCCCTCCCGCAAACCCTCCTTTCAAGGAGAGGTCCTCTGAAAGAACCAGGAAGTGTGTCTGGAGAGACGCCCCAGGGCTGCATCCCAGACTTAGGGGGCATCATCTCTCTGTATGCAGGCTGTGCGTCTGGAGGCCATGTGGGCCTAAAGAGTTGCGCTACAGTCAAAGAGAAAGAACAAAGAAACATTTGAAATGCCTATTTTGAGGTTGCTCTCCACTGAATGCTGCGTGGTGTTTCTGGATTCTGAGACTCACCCAGTGACTGCTAGCTGAATTGTGTTGGGCATCTCCTCCTGTCCTATCTTAAGCTCATAATAAAGTTTTGCAATTGCATTTTTAAGTCTGAATCTGCATTACTGCATGCAACAAGTGGAACACCTGGGAACAAGGTAATCCTAAATATTAGAGTGTGTGACTTTTTTGGGACATGCAGTGTATTTTTTACTTACTTGCAATGTACCTTTGAACTTGCTGGAAAATATCACTACTCCAGCAGAGTGAATTATCTAGCACTGCCCCTCCATTCTTGCTCACCATAGTCCTCTCCTCTTCTGGGACTGTCTAATTACGCTCTGTGCTTGCCCAGCTATTCCAACCCCACAACTGTAGACAACTTTTAAAGTGATAATAAAATCAAAAGTTTTTTTTTAGCCCATTTCAAATGTGAAATCACTTACAATGAATGTTGCTTCTTAAGGTTTAAAAGTTTTAGCTTCCTGCAAAATTAGCAGCTCCCTTAAGCAATGGCCCGGGTATCTTGTTTTAGACCCTTGCAGGGTCCTATGGAGCCGCCCTAGTCTGTGCTAGTAAGCGGTGTGTGTCTCCACAAACACACAGGCACATTATGGCAACCCTTTCCTCCTCCCAGCTAGTAGATGGACAGCTGCTGGAGACTGCTCTGTCCCTTGTAATCTTGTACTGGACAAGAAGTTCAGGGAAGCCAAGCTAAAAGAGTTGGAGCCAATTGTTCAGAAGCATGATGACTAAGTGTTTGGGCAAAATGTAAGGAAATACTTTGCAGGGCAATGTATATTTGTTTATATCTGGATTCATTATTGAAAAACGTTTGAGAGTTTTATACTACGTCAATATAGCTGCCGGAGCCGTGGAGGAAAATACTATAGATTATCACTTGTGTGACAGTTCTGAGTCTGCTGGGGCTGCTGATATCACATCCAAGATGGCAGCACCCAGCAGACGTTTCAGGTCTTTTAGATGTCTACTCAACTAAGGCTTTTACAGGTAAATAACATATACATATGTTTAATGCACACAGACCCTGTTTATCAACAGGGTCTCTTGAGGGGTCAGGAAAGTAGCTGTTACTCCCAGTTAGTGGAGGCTCTGTAAACTGGGGGCTACAGCATGAGTAAATTTAAGTGTTAGGAGCGGGGCCTTTCTCCTAGACCACCCCCCTCTTCTTCTACCGAAACACCCCTCCGCAGGTGTTTTCTTTGCTCTCTTAGTTGTGACATGGGCCTTACACAATACTTGAAAAGTGATAGAGAGCATGTGTAATCACATGGGTTAGAAACATTGGTAAACCCGCTTTTTTAAATTCTTGACATTGACGGACCTCCAGCTAAAGATGAGGATTTTTCCAGGTAGAGATCAGAAATGGAGGAAGGCAGCGTGCCTTCATTTAATTTTGAACTAGATGTCTGGACACTATTGCTAAATACCACCTGGAGTTTGACGATTAGAGCTTGGAGTGGCTCACTGCTCTTTGTGTCTAGCTGGATTTAAAAGAAATGAAGCCTACGCACACAAGCATTTTTTATTGCCCTAAGCTCTTGTACGCTCTTGTCATGCAGCAAAATATAGTGACTATGTTTGCATAAACCAGGGTGCATATAGAACCAAGGAGAAGGCAGAAAGTGAACTATGCAGAAAAAAAGCCAGTTCTGGGGCATTTACCACCCCCCAACTCATGCCTACTGTCACAACGCCTTTGTCATATAACCGCTCAGGTTTAGAACATTGAAACAAAAAAGTACAATATTACATTAGAACACTGATAAATACGTCAAACACACTTCAAATGTGCTATCAGACTATGTGAGCCTTTATATTCGTACATTTTTCAGTTTTAAAAAAAATGAGAAGACATCAGACAAGGATGATTATTTTAACAGAAAATTGCGAGACAGAAATAAAGAATGTCCTTGGATGAGAAAGCACTTTCTACTGAACAATTAAGTTAATTAACCACATGACATGAATATTCATAAGGCTGTTAATGTCTCCCACACCAAAGAGATAAATGTGATGTAATGACTTGCCACTCAAGCATGTCTAAAATTCTCCTGAAAAGCTAACCAACACTTTAGTATTTTGCCCAGAAAGATCTGAAAAATTAACAGTCTCAGGGAAATGTTTTATTATCTTGTAATTAATTTTAAAGCCAATGATGTTCTAGTTCAAGCTGCAGACTTACGTTCTTTCCCCTCAAGTTACTGCCGCCTATAAAATATCTACACAGCAATAAATACATACATAGGCTTATTTAATCAAACTGTGCAGTGATCAATGATACGTAGTAACTCATGGTAACCAATCACATTCTACCTTCCATTAATTTAGATAGATTCCTGTTGTTTATGTTCTTTGAATTATTCAAGCACACTGTGACCCCCAACCAGTGGCTTGGAAGCCTGAAGCAGCTTGCAGGTACATTTGTTTTTGATTGAGAGCCCCTCAGCAGTAACTCTAGTATCTGCTGATATTACACCTTAATAAACTATGAAAAAATATTGAATATATATTTCTTAGGTTTTTGGTTGTTTTTGAAGCATGCATGTTTTTGATTTCAACAAGATAACTGCTTGACCAAAAATATTAACGTTCAGTAGAGATGATTGAGTGATGGCAAGTCAGCTAAACTAAACAGCTGCTATGAAGTAAATATGCAATATTTGTTCATGTCTATATTTTCAGAGTCTACCAGTAAGTACATGTGAGCATGAGTGGCTACAATTTCTATTGTAGACATTGTCCATTTGTGCTTGCTGTAGTATGTATATGTATGAATGCATGTCCTTTCTTATATTTGCATTATGTTTACACATTTATTTTTGCCATAAATGCCTTTGTGGTGCCTCTCTCTAACTTAGCCTATTTGGCTGCTTAAATGGATTCCACAACAACAAATGCCAATGGAAATAGCCAACAGAGTGGCTTCAGGACTCGCCATATGTTCAGGCATTAGTAATAAATGACTGCACAATATTCAAGCCAGTGTAGCAGCATACGCTGCATAGCCTTTATAGAATACAGAATTATGATGTGCTCTTCTATTGCTAAATGGCCATAACTAACAAACTGATATATTCTCCTAGATAAATAGAAATTATATTGTTTACTGTATTTATTTTCTGATCTTCTGTCCAGACAAAACCTCTGTAGACCAATGTTTATTTTGTTATATAGGCTTTAGACACACATGATATATAACCAAGATCATATGATCGTTAGAACAATTGCCAAGTATGCAAAGATTGGAAAAGGGGGTCTTTTAAGAAAGATATTGCTCTCACAATGAACTTAGTAAAAGATAAGAATATATTTATTGCAATGAATTAAAAACATGATTGCATTAGAGTAAACGCAAAATTGTCACATCGATATTGTGCATGGTCCAAATACAATATAGTAATTATTGCAGTAGTCTAGTTGATCGCAAGGAGATTAACAGATGATGTTGTCATCTAGGTGCCTCAACATGTTTCACCGCTAGGCGGCTTCCTCAGGAACTTCAATCCTAGAAGACTGCAACTTGTTGTGGACAAGCCAGCGAAGGACGAGCCAAATGGCAACGAAGGCCAGAACCTCAAACCCCTGAAAATGAGAGGTGGGCCGTGGAGGGAAGCAGGCAGCAAAAGAGGGGGTGGGAAAGGAGAGAGAGGAGGTAAGAGAAAGGGAGGAGAACAAGGCGTGTTTCAATTTTCCAATTATATGAAAAACTCTGTTCTGTCTGAGCAGCAAAAGCCCCTCCAATGTCACTTTGGACAAACATGAGTTAGAAGGAAGCATTTAGAATGAGTTCCTGACACCCTTAGGACTTTGTTTAAACTTGGGCCTACATTGCACCAGTTAAGAATGGGCATTTGTAAGTTCTTAATAACCTCCACTTTTAGGGGTCTATTTATAACGGATTAATTGTGTAATTCGCACAGCAATTTTTTTTATGGACATCAAAGAAATCTGTATTTTATGGCATTCATTTTCAGAGGATTCACTGTATAATGTGGCAGATGGGTGAATCTTGATTGACTTTGAATGTGATGAGTGAATCTTGTTTGTTATTGGAATCTCTCTATTATGTTATATGCAGCTGCTAATGGGTGAATCCTGTTTGAAAATACTAGGTGAAAAGGTTGAATCCTGTTGGAAAATGGTAAACAAGATTCACCCATTACCATCCACTTACAACATAATAGAGAAATTCCAATAACAAGTCACATTTAAATTCAAACAATATTCACCTATCTGCATTATATACAGTGGGAATCCACTTTAAAAATGAATGTTGTGAACTACAGAAGGAAGAACGTCCAGCAAACATTCACTGAATCGCACAATTAACCCTTATAGTAGTGCAAGTCCAGATAAAACATTTTCTTTTTGTTTTGTATAGAAGCGCGTTTGGATTAGAACTCCTGTTGAGCTTTACTGCTCCCTGGGGCTCCAGAGATTTCCCCTGACTTCCTGTCATGGTGACAATGGTTTCCCCACACAAGAAGTGAGGGAACACTTGCAACAGAGACACAGGCAGCAATTAATGATGATAGGGGTTCTAGCCTTCCCCTACTTACACTTGAGTTTGTTATAAGAATGCAGACGTCTCTCACATGGATGGATGTGTGTTCTTTTACTCAACTGTATTTTTCCCTATTAGAGCAGATTGTCAGTTCAATGTCGGGCTGTAAGGTCTTCATGAAAGATGACCTATCTCTTTTTCTGACCACATAGCTGATAAGAAAAACATTTTAATGGCTGCTGAAGGAGGGTAAATCAAGCAATGCGCTACCTGAATTTTGACCAATCCTTGAAAATCAGCCGAAATGTATAGTCACCTTATTTCAATGAACCGACCCAGCTAAAGTATGAATACAAGGAAATAATTAGGTGGTATTCCAAACTTCCTGTGTACCACAGTACGACAATCGCCAAACCAAAAAGACCCCTATGTAGTCCCATATAGTGGTGTTTTTTATTTGGGTTAGTGCCCGTCATACTTACAACTAAATTACATTTGCAGATGTGCAAAATATATGTTCATACATTATTCCATCTTGATTACTCTAACCCACACACCAACACACATTACCTCTAAAACAAAACATTTACTCTGCTTTATTAAAGTATTTTCATGTTTTTCCTCTTCTATTCTAAAAAAAGAGATGCTTCTACTCATTAATGGTTTCTTTCATCTTCCTATAAAATGCTAACCTGATTTGCACCAAGGGGCAAAACAAAAAGATACAGAGATAAGCTTATTTTTTCTATCTACTCAGTGAGAGCTTTAAATGGGGATATTTACTATAACTTAATATAAGTTCTCAATACATACATAATAGCCATTTTCAGCATATTTAAAACAGCTTTAATAATATATGTATATATACACCTACATTGGTCCAGCTTGGCACAGTGCCAACCTGGGACCACAGCTGCTATAGTGTATTACAGTGTCTTCTGGGTCCTTGCTACAGCCGCTATGCTGAGGGACTTTCCCATGCTGTTAAAACACAGAGAGTCGGTCGATGAGTATAACACCCATTTAGAAGATGCCTAGTATTTATCTCAATGAATTCTAGGTGTTCTCTCCTTGGCAGTGCCTTGACATCATCATGTCGTCACCACTCCTTGCCCAATTTTTAAAGCTTGAGTTCAACTTTTTTACTACTTTAAATATATTAGGTCTTTCATCCAAACACAATATAGCTCAGATAGCTTCATACATTGGATCATTTTGCCATTAGTGTAGATTAACAAAAAGAAAAGCAGCTAAAACAAATTGACTCTACAGGTGGCTTCCACTTGTGCAAGAGAACGCTAAGAAAACTTCATATTCTTTATTCATAGTAGAGGATCGACAATGATTATATTGTTCTCAACTTCCAACACAAAAGGCAAAACTTGCTTTATTCTCTTTTTATGCACTAAAAGGGAACTGTTAGCATTCAATTTCCAATAATAATTTCACTTAGAATGCTTTATACTTAATGCATATATTTATGACAGTTACAAACTGTGACAGTGAAGGACAAAATGGACACACCTGTCATCTGAAATCAGGCAGTTAAATAACAATAATTTAACAGATACAATGCCCACACTAATTCCTAATTCACTGGAATCTATCATCAAGGGAACCTGTCTGCCATTTAAAACTTTTCAAATTAAAAGTCCTCTCTATGAGCAGACACCAAGTGTCTATTATTATATGTATTAGCTAGAAAACCCTCCCCTGGGCTCTTCTCTGATTTAGTTAGTCTTTGTTAGCAGATGATTAATTTCCCTGGATTTTGGGGTAAACTTTGCCTACCGGCTGCTAATGGTCACTGAAGTGCGCTCACTGGGCAAGGGAGTGTTAGCTGGACAGAGGCTAACTGAAAAGAAAAGTCAAATTCCTCGCAAAAAATAAAACTAATCTACAGGAGGTGCACAGAGAAAGATTTTCTGGTTATTACAGGTAACATTACACACTTTGTTATATCCACTCTTAGGCAGGACTTTGAATTAAATAGTTGAAATAGTCCAATACAAAATGAAAGTTTGCCCATCTGCGCGTCTACCATTTTGGGATTGCGCTTTGGTTCCACAGAAACAGTTAATTGCAGGAATAAATTCCCTCCTGCACTGAAATAGTAACCTTAATGTCCCAGTTTAGCAGCACCAATGTCAAATGGGTGGGAAAGGAAACCTAACTGTGCAAAAATTAAAGAACAAGAGACACTGGACATCCGATATGCCTGATGTGTCTCTTGTTCATTTATTTAAGTTAACTCTAAGGCCCCATTCACATGTAGCGACTTATCACGCGATATCGCGCATTTTTGCAAGTCGCTTCTACAGGACCCTTTTTTTGGCGGATTTTGCGCGATTTTGCTTTTTTCTATGGTGCCCGACAGAGAAGGTCGCCCTACCGTCGCTGGAACGTCGCCCCGAAAGTCGCGCTATATGAAAGATCCCTGCAACTGCAAAGCAGTCCAAGCTTCTGAACTGCTAACCTCCTCATAACTCAATTACAATTGCATCATTCTGCTTGGTGCCTCTGCTCATTCCCTCATTGTGGACTTGCATAAACTTCCATAAAGCCAACTTTTAATGTGGCAGGCAGTTCTCCTCCAATCACAGCCCCAGAGGGTAACTTTCTTCCAGTTAGGGGCTGAGGCTGATCGCTCTCTTCCAATGAACGGGAAATACTACTTAAAGCTCTTATATAAGTAAATATATTCTCTAGTGAAACCGGGCTCTCTTTGAGGTAGACAAAGGCATTCCCACCTAACCCAAAGCTGTACCCACTTTCTGGAATTTGCGTACTGTGGTGCTGTGGGAGAAGTTTAAATCAGTTGGCTGGATATGACCTAATCCAGGGAAGCTCAGGTTACAGTATAAAAACTATGAACAGCATATTATAATTATACAAATGTAATGCACTATTCATTTAAATGAATCTCACACTCACCTGCTGGTATTATTCCAAGTGGTAATGTTGCTCTGACTGGACTGAAGTTGGCGTTTACATTCTTCCCAGCATCCAACTGGGCTCTAAGAAGAAGACCATGAACAACTTCACTGACTGATCCATCGCCGCCAACGCAAACGATTCTGCAGAAAAGAGCAAATAGTGATATTTATTTCCTCCGCAGTCTTTGCAGTTTACAGCTGGGATTAATAAAAGCAGAAGAAATGAAATATGAAGGACACATATTCGGTGATTTGCATATTTAAAATATTAGCAGAATGGTGGCACAGCCACTTTGAAACAAGAATAAAACTGATCAGTTTAAAAAGTGCCAGACTTGGAGAAGTAGTGCTCAGTATTTCACTCTAATAACTCTTTCATTCCATCATACTTTCCAATGATGTAAAGCCTGTTCCTTGATCTGTCTTCATAATATTCTGCCGCATTTCTATAAATTATGGAGGAGCGAGGATGCTATAAACATTTTACATAAATAAAGGCAGCGTTAGGAAGGGTGTTAATTATCATTAATATGCAAGCAAAGTAATTACTATCGTGCATTAGAAAGTAACATTTATTTCTTGATTGGTTCTTTAGCAACTTATTATTTATTAACCATAATATAGGGAAATATCAGTCTAGATAAAAATAAAATAAACAGGAAACCAGTGAACAATAACCACCACACTTATATAAGCTTATTGAATGTTCTAT